GGTAAGGAGATAGGTTTTGTGAGGACAAGGCTATTAGGTTCATATGAAAAGGGATAAAATTTCTCAATGTGCCACTACTTCATGAATTATTCTGACACTTAAAATATACTTAGTTTTACTCGTATCATCAAAAATATGGTGGCCAAATGTAAGAAATTTTGCAGTACATTCGTAATATTTTCTGCATGAGTAATCAAGGATTTTTATCTATACAAATTAACACTATTTTTGCATGTAAGAAAGAATTCTGGTGCTCAACTCATTAAAATAAAAATATCCAAAGAAACAAAATAAATTAAATAAATCTGTTATTTACCAATTTAAGTGTCAGTGTGAGGCTGATTATTTGGGACAAACTAACTTGCTGTTGGCGATCCAGATTGGACAGCACATACCTACTCATATCAGACAGGGTTAAATCAGCATCAGTATTTGCTTGACTGAGTCAGTTTGTGAGTCAGCAATTGGACTACATTTGGTGAACAATCTGGGTTGTGCTTTGAAATATTCTGATGAAGCATTTAGGGTACTGCACAAAGCTCTGTCAGCTAAACATTTATGTTTTTTAGAAGCTGTCCATATCGAGATTCATTGACCGACATTATGCAGGCAGAAGGAGAACTTTCTTTGTTCTCTGTGTCTCATGAGTGGGCTGTGAGTACATTTTTTTCTGTTTTATACTCACTAGAAGATTATTTACATTGATTTATTGTTTTAGTAATAAATTTATTTTAGTTGTGGCTACTTATTCCCCCCCCCCGGACTTTTTCAGTTTTGCTGTATATGATTTGTTTTTTTTTTTCCAACAAATCTTTCTGAAGAAGTGTTGGATGAAAAAGGTTCCTTTTAAAGAAAAAGAATGTGCTCTATCATTCCAAACTTGATCTTCACTGTGGAGGACACAGGGTATTCTTGAGGGTTAGATTTTGAAAAAAAAATGTACATATTATAAGCTGCAGAATACAGTATTTTCATTAATATGTGATTAATTTGTTCAACATTTTTTTATTTTTTGCTGCTCTTTATCAGTGTTTTTAATCTTTGACTGTGAAAGGGAATAATCAGGCCTAGAATAAAAATGTTAAATAAAAAAATATTAAAGGGAACATTAGGGCCTAGAATAAAAAAAATGTTAAAAGGAACAATAGGGCCTAGAATAAAAATAGTTAAATAATAAAATGTTAAAAGGAAAAATATTGCCTAGAATAAAAAAAATTTGGAAGATAGAGACTGTGGCTAAAAGATTAAAAAAAAATTTTTTTTAGTCATTTCATCCCCAGCATGGTGACAATGCCACTAAGATGCAGGGGCTTACAAGGAGTGAAAGAGAATGAGAAAACTTTAGTGAGGAGAAGTGAGGAAAGGACAATAAAGGAATAGGGTTCAGTTTGGCAGAAGATAGTGATTGACATTGCATTTAAATTTCTGAAGATTGTAGGTGGCAGGGAAACAAGAAATCAGAAGGGAGTTCCACAGGTGAGAAGTGAAAGAAAAGAAACTATTAGAAGTGGCTGTTGCATCTAGTTAGTTTATCAGTAAAACAGTGAAACCTAACTGCCAATCTAGTAGCACATTTAAATTCATGTAAAAAAGAAAGAGCTTATCAGAACAGTTGCCATGAAAATATTTATTGTAGCAAAGAAAATGGTGACTTATCTCGTCAGTGTGTCACATGTATCCCATATCAGAAAAGCAAAAAAGGAAAGAGCACATGTGACCTGTTGTTTATATATGAGAATGTCATGCAAATTTTGTCACATCTCAACCAATCACTAACTTCTCAAACTAGATCTAAACAGGTGCAGCAAGTGGCCAGGAAATGGTTTCGATGAGTTGTTATACTGTATGGAGGAAAATTTCTTGAGATGTGCAACTGCTGGTTTTAGTTTAGTTTTATCCCCTCATACAATTCTGCTACATTTATAGAAAAGACAGGGAAGCCATGTCACATCGTTTGGAAAGTAACTGAAGTTGAGATGTCAGATCAGGATCAGTCACTTTACAGACCCCTCTTTGAATTTTGTCAAGAATCTCAAGATATACAGCAAGAGCACCAGACTAGATATGGCAGCAATATCCAATGCACGGATGAATGGTGGATTTATAAATGTGCAAGATAGATTCAGTGGAGAAAAATTTTCTGCTATGACACAGTGAAACAACTTTCCCATTGCCATGATGTGGCTTCCCTCTATCTTTTCTGTAAATATTTTCATGGCAATCATTCTGATCACTTTTCCTCATTGGTGCCTCAACTACATGAATTTAGGTGTGCTGCTAGATTGACAATTAGGTTTCACTGTTTTATTGTTGAACTAGATAGATATAACTGTGAGTGTAAGTGTGTCCTCAATGAGACAAAGTCACTATACGCTGATAGAATGAGACACCATACGGTTTCTGACAAGGTTGGTTCTAGAGATTACTGGCAGATCTGCAAGAGTGTTTTGAACAAGAGTAAATTTGCAATCCCTCCTCTCTTGAATCAGTTTGAAGTATTTTCATCTGATGCTGATAAAGCAAAATGCTTTGCAACTCTGATTTTCTCCCTAGAACAAAATCTCTACTCAGTGATTTGCATATAACTTCATTCATGGTTTTTCCTATCATCTCAAAAATAGAAACTCACAAGCATGTACCATGCGTGATACACACTTAGGTGATCATGTATCTTTTGATACATGACTGGCGAGGCAGATTTTTTTCCGCAGTAGGTTGCCATTACTTTCTGCGGTAGACCAGTTGCCATCCAAAGCTATAGAACCCAGTCTGTCCTGTTATTTACCCATAGCTGGGGGGAAGAGAAGAAGAGGATTCATACCTTTTTCAAGTGTGACACCAGAATAATAATAATACTAATAATACATATGCCTGGTGTAACAGCAAAATTGTCCAAATCGTGTGAGTGCATGATTGGCAACCCCCACAAAATGTTTAATATCTGAAAAAACAAAAAAAAAAAAACACTAAACTAATTAAGTTTCTTTTTTCCAGGTTTCCAGATAAGATGTTTAGCCATCTTGATACCTCTTGCAAGTTTGGTTCTAGAGATTACAGGCAGCTCTGTAAGAGTGTTTGGAACAAGATTAAATTCCCAATCCCTCCTTTCTTGAATTAGTTTGAAGTATTTTCATCTCCTGCTGATAAAACAAAATACATTGCTTGAAAATTCTCTTCCAACTCCACTCTTGACTCTTGAGGAGTGTCTAAGTCTCATTTTCCCTCTAGAACAGAATCTCTATTCTGTGATATGAACATAACTTCATCCATGATTTCTGTTATCATCTCCAAACTAGATCCCCAAAAGCCTTGTGGACTTGACAATATCCTAGCAATTATCCTAATGGAATGTGCTCTTTAAATTTATCCAAAGGAGTAATCAGAAGCTTTGACCTCGCTTCATGCTACCTGGAGTTCAATTAAGACAAACCTGATACAGCAGAAAGTTATACACATCAATAGAATAACAATTAAAAAATGGACAAAATATTAATGCTAATACATGCTTTCATTTAATATCCCTAAACCTCCATCTGGAATAAAAATTGCATACTTTATTGTTAAGATAGAAATATACATCCCTGGACTACTCAGATGCTTCAACTGCCAAAGATTTGTCTACCACAAAAGCGGATACACCAAAACCTCAGTGTGTGGAAGATGTGGAGAGAATGGCATGGACCATTCCAGATTAACCTACCTAAAAATTCCAAAGTTTTCAAATTTCAAGTAAGAACATACTGCTGATTTAAAGGAATATAAGATCTGGGATGCATGGAGTAATGGATAGTGGCTCGGATTGAGGAATCAGAGAACCGAGTTTGAATTCCACTCACATCCATTACATTCACTTATGTGCTAATAGCTTTGGGAAAGGTAGGAATCTGCTTCTCCTCCTCCCAGCTATGGGTAAATAGCAGGACAGGCCAGGTTCTATAGCCTTGGATGGCAACTGGTCTACCGCAGAAAGAAATGGCAACCTACTGCGGGGAAAAAAATTTGCCTTGTCAGTCATGTATCAAAAGATACATGATCACCTAAGCATGTAACATGCATGGCACATAACTGAAGATCTGGGGAAAAGAAATAAGAATAAAAATATACCAAAAAACATCACATTTCCAGAAGCAAGAGAAATAGTGAAAAGTACCTTCTTTACATCTTCATATGCTGAAATTACAAAAATGCTTTCCCTAAAAAACCACCAACCGAAAATGTGGTTTGATAAGAAACTGTGAATTGAAATTTGATGAGATAACTTTACTCATAAATGAACTTAGAAAACAATACTTAAAGAACTAAAATATTCCCATTGAGTTGTTTGAGTGAGGTCAGATGAGAGATCAACTGCCAGACTCTGATTATCTGGTCATTTCTAGTGGTGAGCAGATGATTATATATGTATATATAAAAAAAATATTCAGGTTTTTCAGTTATCATGTCATTGTGTGATTAACATATCCAGCATATTTCATAAATGTTTATTGTTGTAGCATATCTATGGACGATAATGAGTATGTCTCCATTCATATAAATACAGGAGTAAATACTGTATGTTGGTCTGCAGTTGGAGATTCAATGTGAAATTCACTTGACTCACTTCTAGCATTTGACTACTTCTTCTATGTGCTGCTGGCAAATCTTATATGTGTTGTTCTTGTCCCAAGTATTATCGTTCATTACCAACCTTCTATTCAGTAACCTTCCCTAGGTTACAACATTTATAAAAATATATACTCTGTCAATAATACAATTATTCTTGACCATGAAGAGTGTTATTATTCTGAAATTTTTAGTTAGTTTGTATATGCATCATTAACTGTTTTTTTTTTTCATTGATAATATGTATGTTTGTGTGTATGGAGGAACTTGAAAGTTCTTAGCCTGACCAATCTGATTTGGTCAGATTTTGGAAAGTGGGCCAGCCTAAGAACCTTTAACTATCACCTTCTATAATATATATATATATATATATATATAATTTTTTTATTTTATTTAAGCATCGAACTACTACTGAACCCTGTCACACTTGTGAAGTGACTCCAGAAGATTCAATAAAAAACCAAGCTAAAGAAGAATTAGGATCCAATTCTCAAGAGCTTGTCACTGATGATACCAAAGTTGGTGTCATCTCAGAAAAGGAATTAACAAGAGCAATATCAAATGTTCGGGTTTCGCAAATGAAGGCTGTTTATAAAAAAGCTCCTTACAAAACATTTGATTGTGAACAAAAAAAAACAACAGTTTCTTCAAGGTCAAGTAAAAGTCAATCAAAATCATTATCTCAAGGAATTAGTCATTCAAAGAATTCTGCTCTTAGGAATTCCAAACATTCAAAAGATGAAATAAAATCTCATTCCTCTGTGAAATCTTTGCAGACAAATTCAAATCTTTTCAAAGACAGTAAAACTTATTCCAAAATGAAATCTTCAATTGCAAACAAGTGTTCAGGTTCTTTTCAAGAAAAAAAACAAAATAATTTAAAAATAGTTGAATGCGAAGAAGATAAAAAAAAGCATGAATTCATATTGGATACAGCTAGTGATAAAACCAGGTAAGATTATTTCTTTATTATAGAATGTCTACCTTCTTTCATAATTGGTTTTATTTTGATATTATTTCTATCTTCATTAATAAACATTCTTATTGTTACAGTTGTTGTTGTTCATGCTATAAACTGCATTTGCTATCATTTACCTTACACATTTTAAATCAATGTTTTTACAACACTTCATGATGCTTCTCTCTTATAAGTTATATACTTATATTATGGAGAGTAAGTAGCCATTATTAAACGTAAGTGGAAGAACTGATCAACAAACAGAATTGATAAAGTTTGCAATAAACAATAACAAGAAAAAGAAAAAAAAAGAATAGGGCAAAAAATAGTATAAAGTAAGCAAACAATATATGCAAGGCAAATTAACAGTAATAAGGCAATGCATATAGTCATATGGCAAAAAGTTCACAAACTAATAATTGATGTTGACACACAGTTTGGATAAACAAATATAGTGTTTTGGTTTCAAGACAAGACAGACCGGGACTGAGTCAAATGAAACTGAGAACCAGCTTATTTTATTGGCTAGGAAAAAAATCCCAGCATGCATTTGTGTGTTTCTGTCTATAAAGTGGTGAGGGGGGTGTTTTGCAGTTATTCATAATTCAAATTGGAACCAACAGCCAACAATCAAGAAACTTTAATTATCAAGAGCAAGAAATCATTTATTCATGATGAAATATAAAATAAAAATATAGTGATTACAAAACGTTTATAACTGTAATGTTTGCTTTTCCAGTGACTCTTTGTATGTGATTCCTCTGACAGTAAAACACTTATATCAACAAAATCATTCTTTAAAGAGAAAGACTGTAAAGATGAAGGAACAATCGAAAAATGCAGAATCATTTTTACATCTTTGGGAAACAAAGGTAAGCCCAGTGTATGTGATATTTTTTTTATCTTCATTTTTTTTTGATTCCTAGATATTTTAGAAAATCACATTTAAGCATTGATATCAAGTCTTTATTTTTTTTAATCTGTAGAATTTAGATTAAATCACTTCATTGTGATTGTGACTTTAATAGGGAAGGAATTTCATTTGACACTGTCTTTACATAGTGCAAATGCTTTGCACTTTGAAAAAAATGTGTAATGTTAGTGAGGTCATATATCACTCAGTACATTTACCATGAAAACATCAACAACTTAATCAAATTTACACTATTTATATTTGGACTATTGTCTTTATCTTTGTTGTTATCACAATGTTTTGGATTTAGCATCCTCTGGTGTATATCGATCTGGGTAACCTACAGGGAATTCTGAACTGAACTCTTGAGTGTAAATAATAATAACTCCTCATCCCAGAAAATCAGAAGTTAATCAAATTTATCTTTAACAATCTTTTGTTCATTCTATTTGCTACATTTTGCTCTGTCCTACTTGGTAATATACTTTTGACAATGATTTTTTTTAGTCATTTTGAATTTTATTAATGATTAAAACTTTATTGTTCAAGTGATTTTTTTTCAATTTTACAGATGACAAAAACTCCAAATGGTGAAGTCAAGTTGCTTACCCAAAAATATGAAAACCTTTCCACGTTGTTGCAAGGATTAAATATTCCTTGCATTTCAGGTAAAGTCTTAATTTAGTAAAAAACTGAAAATTCAGTTTTAATATAGAGTATAAAAAACATGGAAATGCACATAAGAAAGTGTTGAAGCTTGAATAAGCATGGAATAATAATAATACAACACAAAATGTACGTAACAAAATGTATTGAAACAATGAAAAAAGGTACACAATATTTACAGGTAGTTTTGGTATATTCTTGGGAAGACTGTTCCTGCAGAATGGGTTGACTAAGTCGCAGTCGGGCAGAGTCTCTGGATTCGATCTCTTAATCTTTCGTCGTCTTCCGGTACCAACCCATATTTATATGGTCGGTACTCCACTTATGTAAATTAGGTGTATCATACACAACACCCTCCTCCCAAGCCTTGGAATCCCTTTTGGATTTCAAATTGGCTTCCTATATGGGTTGATGATTATGGCTATTTCTTTGTAGATCCATTTGCCTAATTTTAATATTTTTTCCGTTTGGATTCACGTTCAATGGGTCCGTCAACTTCCGTTTCCTACGGATCTTCTTGGTTCAGGTGTATTCTGTGGAGGTTCTACCTGAAACATATCATACATTATATCAATGGGATCTTCGTCCTCATCCGGTATACACTCTTCTTGCTCTATACCGTAATCTTTTTTAAGTTGGTTTTGGTGCCTTTTATAAGTATTCTTGGCCCTTTAATTATGTAAATCAGGTCACCGATTCTCTTGTCCACTATGCCTCGTTCCCAGAACTCAACGTTGTTTTTATAGCATGAAAAACACCTTCTCTCCGGGAGTGTATCTTTTTCTCGCTGTATACATGGTATTTTTTACTGTATTTTTTCCTGGCAAAAGCTTGTCAAACACTGACTTAACTTTCCTAGCTTAACATTAGTTCAGCTGGTGCCATGTTTGAGTGTGTTCTCTGGTTTGGCGTGATTCTGTATACTTGTAAGAATTGCTGAAACGCCTTTTCCGTTTGAACTCCTGAGGCTTTCTTCAGAGCACGCTTTAAAGTATCGACAAATCTTTCTTGAGTCCATTAGACCTCGGATGATACGGAGGCGTCGTTATGTGGTTAATTTGATATAACTCTCAAAAATTCCTTAAATTCTTCAGAAGTGAATTGTGTACCATTGTCACTCACAATACACTCTGGCACACCGAACCGTGCAAATAGTTCATGCAAAAAGTTGTTGTGGTATTGGACGTAGGCTTTTTACAGCGTAGTACTTCCGCCATTTTGTAAAACTATCTACCACTATTAAGTAGTAAAAAATCTTCTACTGGACCAGCGAAATCAATGTGTAATCTTGTCCACGGATGATCCGTCTTGGGCCATGGTTTGTATACTATAGGTGGTGCCTTAGCTGCTAACGCACACCCCTTACATCGATGAACCATGTTTTCGATATCCACATCCATTCCTCTCCAATACACAAAGCTTCACATTAAGCTTTTTGTTCTATTAATACCAGGTGACCCATATGAAAATCCCGAAGTATTCTTTTCTGAAACTTTTTGGTATTACTACTCTCTCACCATATAATAAAACTCCGTCACCTATTGAATAAATCTCCTGCACTTTTTGGTCATTCGCTACCATTTTGCTTTTAATTTCTAAAATGAAATCATCGCTTTCAGCTTCTTTTTTAATTTCATTTAGCGTAACGGTAGCTCTCTTACAATGTTGTTTACCATGCTTTTCACCTCATAATCTGCTCTGATATTTGCAATAATTGATTCTTGAATCTTTCTTCTTGACTTCGGTACTAGTCTTGATAGACTATCCCATGAATTACCTTTTTGGATGATAGGTGCTTTATGTGAAAATCATAATTGAGAAGAATGGTTCCCCATCTTAACAGACGATTTGCTGTATAAGCGGGTAACCCTTTCTTTGAACCAAAATGGTGATCAGTGGTTTATGATCCGTTTCAAGGATAAAATGTCTGCCGTGGATGTACCTGTGAAATTTTGTATGGCAAAAATGATACTCAGTGCCTCTTTTTCTATCTGAGAGTAACTTCTTTCTCCTGGGAGCAAAGTTCTCGGCGTGTGCAATTGGTTTTCTAGAACCATCTGGCATTATGTGTTGAATAATACGCTCCTATCCCGTATGAACTAGCGTCACTTGCCACTACAATATCCAGTTTTGGATTGTAATGGGTTAAAAGAGGTCGGACGTAAGCATTTTCTTTATTTCATCAAAGGCTTTCTGACATTCTACCGTCCATTCCCATGCCTTGTCTTTTTTTTAACAGTTCATTCAACGGAGCTCTTAAATTGTACATTCCTTTAATGAACGCTTGATAATAATTTGCAAGCCCTAGAAAACTTTGTAGCATCGCCACATTAGTGGGCGTCGGCATGTCTCTAATTGCAATGGACCTTTCCGGATCTGGACATCTGCCATTTTTGTTGATTATGTGCCCTAAATACTTAATTTCCTCCAAACCAAATTCGCACTTTGACTCTTTGACTTTAAATCCAAAGTCCTGAATTTTTTTAAATACTTGATTGAGATGCTCTCGATGTTCGTCTAATCGATTCGCTCCTTACTATGATGTCGTCTAAAGCGCATTTAAAGTCTAAATCATTCAGCATGACGTCCATAGCTTGTTGAAAAATGGCAGGTGCCACTTTAATACCAAAAGGAAGCCTGTTGTACTTGAATAACCCTCTATGCATGTTTATCCCTAGTAACGAACATTCCTCTTCGACGGGAATTTGGAGATAGGCATCTGATAAGTCAATTTTGAAAATATAACTCCACCATTTAGCTTGTTAAAAATCTCCTCCGGACTCATTAGCGGGTAATGGTAGTCCTTAATTACCGAGTTCAACCCTGTCGAAAAATCAACGCAGACTCTGACTTGGTTTGATTTCTTTTTATGCACACAATCGGGCGCAGCCCATGAATTAGATTCTACTTTGAAATAATTCCCATTTTTTCCAACCTATCAAGTTCTTCGTTAATTTTCTCTACACTTGCGAAAAGGCACATTACGTTTCTTTTAACAATTGGCATAGTATTTTCCTTTAATTGAATTTGGCTTCAAACTTGTTACATCTTCCAAGACCAGGTGTGAAAGTTTCGGAAACTTTTTTTTAATTCCTCATTAATGTCCTGTCTTGTTTTTGCGTATTACTTTCTACTTTTCTGCAGAAAGAGTTTAATGGTTTATCCCACAATTCGAATGTTTTCAATAAAATCTGTACCCATCAAGTTTTCTCCATTTTTCAGAATGAAAACTTTTTTTTTTTAACTATCCCGTTCAATTTCATGGGAAGTACAACCTCGCCTTCGAATTTAATTTCCTTTCCAGTCACTGTTAAATAGCGTTTCGTTGACTTCATTATTGTAGGCCTTTTAAAATTTTCCATGTTTTATAGTTCATTATTGTTAAATCTGAACCCGAATCGAGTTGAAATTTGATATTCTTTTTAAATATTTCAGTCGTCACATATTTCCTCAAATCTCTATCTGATTTGATATTTGAATTTGTTTGACTAATTGGCTATTGACTTTTTCGTTTTACAACACGACCCTTTTGTGACCATTCTTGTGGCTTTGAAACATTTTTATTTTTTATATGGGCAATTTACCTCCCAATGTCTTTAGATTTGCACCGTCTACAATTAAATGGGGAACCATTTTTTTCCTTCCTCATTCTTTTCTTTAATTTTTTTTTTCTATTTTTAAAATCGCTTGAATTTTTAATCCAATTTTTTTTCTGATGGGTAATTTGACTGTTTCTTCACTTTTTTAATATAAGCAATACCAGCTTCTTCAATTTTTTGAGACTCTTTCTTTAAATTTCGGCCCGCTGACACTCCTCTGCTAACTTTTGCAGGGTAAGGTTTTGTTCAGATTCGAGTTTAGACAAAACTCTCGTCTTATTTCGGCACTTTTACTGGATACCAGACCTTGAGCAAAAATTAAACACTTGAATTCTTCAACCATAATCTCTGCCAATCTGAAATTGTCACAATGTCTATTCACTATAGATGCATAAGTTAAGTAATCCTGATCATCGGATTTAGCGACATTCATGCATAACCATCGCTTATGCCAAAGCGACATATTTGCTCCAAACAACTCCTTTAGCAATTTCACTGTTTTCGAGAATTCCAATTCATTTGTTCTTCTCGGTAGAATAAAATCTACAAATTTGCTATGTTCTGCTGTACCTAGCTTTCTTAGTAATAGACTGACTTTTCTTGAATTGACCAGTTTTCACAGTCTGTGTGGAAAATATCTTCATATCGTTTAAAATGCGCTTCAAACGTTTTTCCTTAAATCTGGCACATAGTTGAAAGTTTCCAACGAATTAAATATGATGTTATTAGAATATGAAGAGTTACTTTCATTTGCCTGAATGTTGTTTAATTTCTCCAATGTTAACTTTTGAATTTCCAAAACCTTGACATACATTTCTTCCTGTTCCTTTGACGTTGCTGACTCAACTCCTCTTGCCTTTCTTGATAATTCTGCTGTGCTAATTGTTGTTCTCTTAATAAGGCAACCTGTTCACTTTGTTGTTGCAGACTCAACTGCTGGGATTTGAATAATTCAGCTTGACTCAACTGCTGAGCTTTAAACAATTCAGCTATGACTTTGGATAATTCCTCCATTTTTAGCTGATAGTGTTCATGCAACAAAGAATATACTTTTAAATTGTTTATCCACGAATATACTATAAGCAGACAAAAAAAAAAAATTGAAACAACTTACGCCTTTTTTAATTTTATGTCTTGCTTTATAAAATATTGTTGAGCAACCAAAAAAAAAAAATAAACAAATTTTTTTTTTTTTTTACAAGTTTCGCTTACCTTTCAAAGTCGACACGTGGTATTTGTGCTCCTTTTAATTCCATGCATGTTTTTTTAGTCGGCCAGCTTTTTTTTTTTTTAGTCGGCCAGCATTTTTTTTTTTTTTTTTTTTTTAGTCGGCCAGCAATTTTTTTTTTTTTTCTTTTTAGTCGGCCAGCATTTTTTTTTTTTTGCGTTATTTGTTTATGCCA